ATGCTGGGCGGTGGCTCACGCCTGTCATCCTAGAGTCGGTGCTTACTGAGAGCACTGCATGCTGGGCGGTGGCTCACGCCTGTCATCCTAGAGTCTGGTGCTTACTGAGAGCACTGCATGCTGGCCGGCATGGTGGCTCACGCCTGTCATCCTAGAGTTGGTGCTTACTGAGAACCCTGCATGCTGGGCGGCGTGGTGGCTCAGGCCTGTAATCCTAGAGTCGGTGCTTACTGAGAACCCTGCATGCTGGGCGGTGGCTCACGCCTGTCATCCTAGAGTCGGTGCTTACTGAGAGCACTGTATGCTGGGCAGCGCAGTGGCTCACGTCTGTCATCCTAGAGTCAGTGCTTACTGAGAGCCCTGCATGCTGGGCGGTGGCTCTCACCTGTCATCCTAGAGTCGGTGCTTACTGAGAGCACTGCATGCTGGGCGGCGTGCGGTGGCTCACGCCTGTCATCCTAGAGTCGGTGCTTACTGAGAGCACTGCATTCTGGCCGACGTGGTGGCTCACGCTTGTAATCCTCGAGTCAGTGCTTACTGAGAACCCTGCATGCTGGGCGGTGCGGTGGCTCACGCCTGTCATCCTAGAGTCGGTGCTTACTGAGAGCACTGTATGCTGGGCAGCGCAGTGGCTCACGCTTGTAATCCTAGTGCTCTGGGAGGCTGAGGCAAGTGGTTTGCTTGAGCTCAGGAGTTTGAGACCAGCCTGAGCAAGAGTGAGACCCATCTCTACTAAAAATAGAAAAATAAGCCGGGTACTGTGGCTGGCACCTACAAAAACAAAAAAAACTGTATGGGGCACTGTTTGCCTTTATTCTATTTGTGATTGATTTTTTTATTTTTAAGGGAAAAGTAAAAGCCTAAGAGCTACAACAGCCTATAGAATAGAGGCAGTAATTTTAAACATTCCTGGAGTCGGAGGTTGCTGTGAGCTGTGTGACGCCGTGGTGAGGGCGTTAAAGTGTGTGGGGGGAGCATTCCTGAGGATCTTTGAGCTATGCACACACGTGTGTGTTCCCAGGGTGTGGAGAGAAGCACGGGACCGCATCGTGGGCTTCCCTGGCCGGTACCACGCGTGGGACGTCCCTCATCAGTCCTGGCTCTACAACTCCAACTACTCCTGTGAGCTGTCCATGGTGCTGACAGGTGCTGCCTTCTTTCACAAGGTAAGAAAAGGGTGATGAGAATGGCATTGAGGTGGGAGGATCGCTTGGGGCCAAGAGTTCAAGACCAGTGTGAGACCCCATCCCTATAAAAAAATAGAAACATTAGCTGGGCATAGTGGCGAGCGCCGATAGTTCTAGCTACTTGGGGGGCTGAGAAAGGAGGGTTGCTTGAGGCAGGAGTTTGAGGTTGCTGTGAGCTGTGATCATGCCACTGCTGTCTATCTTGAGTAACAGGGGGGGACTTGTCCCCAAAAAAAAAAAAAAAAAAAAAAAAGAATTTTTTTTTTTTGGTGGCGCCTGTGATTCAAGGAGTAGCGTGCTGGCCCCATATACCTGAGGTGCGTTCAAGCCTGGCCCTGGCCAAAACTGCACCCCATCCCCCCAAAAATATATATATATATATTAGGTGAGAAAAATTTTTCTGTGTTTTAAAAATGTGCAGATGTGTAAGTTTATCAGATTTAACATTTTGGCAATAAAACTACATACTGGTGGAAATACCTGTAAACTTTGTTCTCATAATTTTTTTTTATATATGTGTGTGTGTGTGTGTGTGTGTGTGTGTGTGTATATATATATATATTTTTTTTTTTTTAGAGACAGAGTCTCACTTTATTTCCCTTGGTAGAGTGCTGTGATGTCACAGCTCACAGCAACCTCCAACTCCTGGGCTTAAGCAATTCTCTTACCTCAGCCTCTTGGGTAGCTGGGACTACAGGCGTGCCCGCCACAATGTCTGGTTATTTTTTTGTTGCAGTTTGGCCAGGGCTGGGTTCGAATGCGCCACCCTCAGAATATGGGGCCGGTGCCCTACCCACTGAGCCACAGGCACCACCAGTTTTTTTGCTGTTGTTGTTAAAATGTCGCCTTTTCCTTAAAGACATGAATTGTGTTTAATTCTTGTCAGCATACTAATGATAGTCACTGGCCATTTGAAAGGTCGAAAATTTGAATCATCAGTCTTTGTGTAAAGAAGAAGTATGATTCATCTTTTAAGCTCACCAACTCTTAAGTACTTTGCTACATGATAACTGGCAAATGACTCTGGGCTGCAAAAATTTTATAATCATAATTTCACTATATAGATTTTGGTTTAACTGGGCACATCACCTGCTGATTTGTCACTAGCAGATTACAGCTCACTGCAGTTCACATGTGCCCTGTTCTGTGCTATTTGCTGGTTTCTGTGCTGTAAGTATCTTACCTAGGCTCATTTCAGGTTATCAACACGAATCACTGAACACGGATTTGGGAAGAGAGATGCAGTTATGTACCATTACATGGTATTTTCACCATACACAGAAATAACTTCAAACAGTAAAATATAATAGATAATAGTGATAGATAATAGTGAACACTGTAATAATTGACTTTTAGATATTTATTGCTTGGATTTCTTTTTTTTTTTTTGGTGCAGTTTTTGGTCCGGGTTGGGTTTGAATCCACCACCTCCGCTATATGGGGCTGGCACCCTGCTCCTAAGTTTATTTAGCTACATCTTTATTAATAATGGCTGTGGTTAACAGCAGGCTCACAACTTCTGAAAATGTAGCATTTAGCAGGGTAGCAGGTGTGAGTGGCTGCAGCACACCACTTTATGGGCCTTGTAGACCAGGGGTCCTCAAACTTTTTAAACAGGGGGGCCAGTTCACTTTCTCTCAGACCATTGGAGGGCCGGACTGTGGGCCCCGGGATGAGTTGGCTGCTAAGCAAGACAAGCAGCGGTGGCAAAAACACCGGATAAATGTCCTAGGCGGGCTGCATGTGGCCCGCGGACTGTATATGAGGACGCCTCTTGTAGACAGTCTGAATGCTGAGTGAGCCAGGAGCATTGGAGGCTTTGGGGTATGAGATTGGCATGTTCATTGGCTTCACTTCACATGATTCCCTATAGTCTCAGGACTCAGGGATTGCTCAGAGAGAGAATAGGGGAGCAGACTGTTCAGGAGGTGACTTGAAGAATCCGCGGAAGAGAAAGAGGTGATTTGAGCAGGACGCAGCCAGTGGTGATGGTGAGAAGAAACCAGATTTAAGAATCTTCAAGTGAGGCTCAGCGCCTGTGGCTCAAGTGGCTAAGACGCCAGCCACGTACACCCAAGGTGGCGGGTTCAAATCCGGCCCGGGCCCACCAAACAACAATGACGGCTGCAACCAAAAAATAGCCGGGTGTTGTAGCGGGCGCCTGTGGTCCCAGCTACTTGGGAGGCTGAGGCAGGAAACTCACTTGAGCCCAGGATTTGGAGGTTGCTGTGAGCTGAGATGCCACGGCACTTTACCCAGGGGGACAGCTTGAGGCTCCTGTCTCAAAAAAAAAAAA